TCGTAAGTCTAACACATAGAATGGATAACATATAGATCAATCTACAATATAACATAAAATTTTTGGCGATCGGAGTAAATGTCACGTGGTTATAATGCCACGCCCCTTTGAGGTCTGAGTCGAAAATCTGCTGTTGCCGGCATTTTTTCGTGAAAATCTCTCGGCTACACATAGTGTGCATTAGTGCCTTGCGCTGAACAGAGTTTCACCAAAATCGCAAGGACCCAATTCGAGAAATTCAGCGGTTTCCAAATTGAGGTCATAATTTATGCGAAAATGATAAGCAAACTTTACACGGATTATATCTAATAAACTATGAGATTCATCTCTGTAGTTTGGGCATCCTTATAACAGATGGGTCCTTGCAAGTCCGCAAAACAATTTAGGGCCTTGTAAATGCGCGCGATTTCGAGCAAAGCAAACATATAGAAATTATAGTTTTCGCAATTTGTTGACGCTTCTCAGCGTTTAAGAGTCCTTCTCACGAAAAAAGCATTTTCTTAAAAATTCGTAGTTTTTTTTCCTTCAAATTTTTTCAGGGCCACAATTGATTAACTAACTACCCGGACCCTGAGTTTCATGGTCATTGAAAAACTGTGACATTATCTTCTATAAGCCCAAACTTGAGTAAACATTGACGATTTTTAGCATTTTGGCTGAGTTTGTGCTTTGGGAGTTGTCTATTGTTTCTAGTCTGTCATGATACAGCATTCTTGTTCAGCACGCGTGCAAGGACCGCGCTTGGCTGACTTCCGAATGGTTGTTCGGAACGGGAAGGCTTCTTAAAACTACCAGAGGAGTCTTAAATACGCAGTCATGGTATTGACGTCTTTAAAACGGATCTTCATAATATTTGCTTTGTCCCTTCGGTTTCCGTATACAGGGCTCAATTGTACAGATTAGGCTTCTACTGGTTTGATTTTCATTTCAGCCCGTTAACGTTTGGCGGAGTAATGATGGCCTTTCCAGGAATACCAGTTTACACCGTTGGCATAAGAGGAGTGATTCCCATTAAGATAGCGACCATCAAGTTGGAGCCGTGACAAGCATTGTATCACCAGGCTCCCTCATATAAAATGGCACAGCTCGTGCCCGAAGCTTGGTCATTGTCTTGATCTTTAGTGGAGAATGACATATTTCGATGCCATGTAAGAGAGTCACCAGCAGTTCCTAAAAATGATTAACACAAATCTCATTTCTTACTGTACATTTTTTGTAATAGTTCAAAATAACCTTTCTTTAAACGATTTGGGAGGAAAGTGAAAGAGTACTCTAAATAAGTAAAATGGGCATTCCTACCCTTAAAAATTGCGCATTGTGAACGTATGCTACAGTCTACTAGTATCCACTCTGTCACACTGCTAGATCTTTAGTTATTTTATTTCAACATTGACGTGGCGTCATTTTTCCTTGTAAAAAACAGTGAACGGGTGAACAATAAACCAAGTCGACCGTGAAAGGACTAGCTCCCTGTTTCGGTATAGCACTTGACTGCAACAGCGGAGATTACAGGTTCGAAACCTGGATCGGACAATTTCTCAAGGTCTTGCTTTGCAAGCGGCTTGACCCTCCGAGGCAGTTCAGTCTCCAGTGGGAGTGTCCTCAGTTAGCACTTTTGACCTAAATACAATTGACACTTGAATATACTTCGTTGGGAAGATAGTTCTCAGCTCGAGTCTTGGAACGAGGAGAATGGAACAGAGAGGGAAACACCCATTCTCGCCCTTGGAATATGTGAATTTCACTTAATTATTTTTACACCAATTAAACGCTTGAAATTTATCGGAAGTTGGTTTCTGGAGAGGTCGCAAACTTTTATTCAGTATTGTCAGATAGAGTCGGGGTTATTATGCTCTCTTGGTGTGTGGCAATAAGGCCCTGTTCACACTAATGCGTTTTCAAAATTAGGCGTTTTAGTTGCCAACGATAACGCATCGATCGATTCCTAACCCTAACTACCGTTTTGATGTGTTTTTGACTGTCCACACTAAAACGTTCACTAAACGATAGAATTGCACGTTGTGACGTAATTTGAACCCAATGGGCATGCCACAAATACACGCCCATGCGATATTTTACGACCTACGTGGTACATATGACGCCATCGTTTTCATTTTGATGCGTTTTCGACGGTTTTCGACCATCCACCCTATGCGCTTTTGTTTTGACCCACTTTCAATAGCTTTTTCAAATCGATGGATAAAAATGCTCAGTGTATGAGGCTGTACCGGGCCTTAATTCTCGTGGACTTGGTGACGTTTTAATTAACAATTGATTTAAATGTGCGAACGTTCCAGGAACTAGATTTCCGTTTAATCACAGCCTCTAAATATAACCTTAGTGAAAATCACATATCTCGGCCAAGATTGCTCCTCTGACCGATTATTCTGTCTTGTTGGAACATTATTCGAGAAATGCTGGCTGTTATTATGACAATTCACGAGTTAGTGAGCACGTAGCTGAAGCTAGTGCTCCTTAAAATTGGAAAAGTGAGGGATTGAGAAATAAATTTTTTAACTTTCAGTTTTACATACAATATACAGTCCATCCACATAATACTCAGACTCATTTTCATTTGATAGAAAGGTTTGCCCAAAAAAAGTAGCGTGCACGTGGGCTGACAGATCGCGCCCATAAATCGTATAAACATGTAAATTNCGTTTTCAAAATTAGGCGTTTTAGTTGCCAACGATAACGCATCGATCGATTCCTAACCCTAACTACCGTTTTGATGTGTTTTTGACTGTCCACACTAAAACGTTCACTAAACGATAGAATTGCACGTTGTGACGTAATTTGAACCCAATGGGCATGCCACAAATACACGCCCATGCGATATTTTACGACCTACGTGGTACATATGACGCCATCGTTTTCATTTTGATGCGTTTTCGACGGTTTTCGACCATCCACCCTATGCGCTTTTGTTTTGACCCACTTTCAATAGCTTTTTCAAATCGATGGATAAAAATGCTCAGTGTATGAGGCTGTACCGGGCCTTAATTCTCGTGGACTTGGTGACGTTTTAATTAACAATTGATTTAAATGTGCGAACGTTCCAGGAACTAGATTTCCGTTTAATCACAGCCTCTAAATATAACCTTAGTGAAAATCACATATCTCGGCCAAGATTGCTCCTCTGACCGATTATTCTGTCTTGTTGGAACATTATTCGAGAAATGCTGGCTGTTATTATGACAATTCACGAGTTAGTGAGCACGTAGCTGAAGCTAGTGCTCCTTAAAATTGGAAAAGTGAGGGATTGAGAAATAAATTTTTTAACTTTCAGTTTTACATACAATATACAGTCCATCCACATAATACTCAGACTCATTTTCATTTGATAGAAAGGTTTGCCCAAAAAAAGTAGCGTGCACGTGGGCTGACAGATCGCGCCCATAAATCGTATAAACATGTAAATTACTGCACTGACCTTACGACGGCGTGGAACATTATTATTTCTTTCAATTTTTAACTATGGTGTTGTGTCTTAAAAGCATATTGTCCAAGACGTTCCAGCTTGTACTTGCTCTGTTCATCACCAACACCAAATGAGTCGTATTCAGCGTAAGCTGTTTGGTTGTCGAAGTCTTCCAGATCAGCCCAAAGCCTGCTGCGCCCTTTAGTTAGTCGATAAATCTTGTCCAGCCCGAGCCAAAACTCACCATTCAGATTTCCAAAGCCTCGTTTGTAGTCGTCCCAGCCGCAATAGAAATCTACCGAGCCGTCCAGTCTCTTTTGGAACACAGTATATCCGCCACCGGCTGTTTTTTTGTCACAGTACACATCAAAGGCTCCAGCATCATCAGGGTCGATAGTGTAGACACCACTGGTTCGAAAACCGTCTTCATAGACCATGCTCAGCACAATTTCTGCGAACTTGAATTGAGTGAATTAATGAACAGTGTAGCGTTTCCAAGCTTTATCACTTTAACGTAATATGATAGGCGTGATCTTAGCAGCCACTATATTTACTACTAACTGTATTTGAATAAAACATCACTTACAAACAAAGCCAACAAACGGATTGGAGTAGATCGCTAATACGGTGTGCAGTAGTACCAAGCCCTCATCAAGTCATTTTTAGAGTGTCCACCCCCTCTGCCATCGGCTGTGTTCAGTGACTGTATGTACTTAGCCTGTATACATACGCCCCCTCCTCTTAGTAAAAAACCGGGAAAGGGGAATCTCTTTTTACTGAGGGGGCATCTGTACACAGGCTAAGTATATACACCCTCATTGCTGTTTAATCGTTGTCCTACTTGGTAAAATCATCGTAGATCTTGTAAACTGGAAAAAAGGAATAAATACTGCGTACTATGTGTTGATATTTGCCTTATTCTCTTTTGTATGACTTTAAATTTATTACAAAAAGACGAAAAAGGAAGAAAACTTGTAAATGGCTTAGCTGACTAGATGGAGGACGGCAGAAGAGGAGGGCGCGCAAAAACAATAACTGATAACTCCCTACCCCTTCAGGTAGGTTAATGTTCTGATGAAAGTACCTTTTATTTCGCAATTTTCCCCTTTGAAGCCACCTGTCCATACGCAAATGTACTTCTTTACGGTATATCCCATGTAGCACGTTCCGTTGTTCAGGTAGGGCTCAGTGGCGCAAAGATTCTGTTAAAAGGAAAACAGTTGCAACGAATTATTCATTGGATCAGCTTCAGCAATTATGCATTATGTAAGTTGTTAAATTTGGAATAAATTATAGAATTATAGCACATTGCATATACCGCCAACACCGTTATTTTTATCATCTTTTTCATCACTGGCTTAGAATCGTCATAAATCCACCACTATGATGAGATGGTTCAAAATTCATTTGGGAGGGGATAAATACCTCTGTGCCTCTGTAGGTCCAGTCTTTTCTTGGTTTGAGATCCTCTGGGTGTTGCAAGTGATCTGAGTTACTCAGTTCACAGGCCATCTTGGTGTTTATCATTGGACCAATATTATAAGAAACACATTCCCTCGCAAGGGCGCATTGGTCTTGGCAGTCAAGATTTAGTTCCACAGAATGATTTGAAATCACGTGTCCTTCAAGGTAAAACCTCTGGCTGGTGTCAGAAACGTGATGCGTCGGTTGTGTTGACCTCAGTCACCCAAGATAGAAATTTTCAAAATAAAAACTAGTTTTAACGTACAAAAGAGTTCGACCGACTACTTATCAGTGTTAAAGTCAGCACGGCTAGAAGAGTGCATTAATTTTGCAATCCAATCCTTAATTAACTAGCTCTCAGTCCCTCACTATTGGTGAGTACTAAAAATAACTAAGTTCCATGTAGGGGAATCCCGTGCCAGAATCCGGGAAATTGCTACCTGTTGAGTTTAGAATCCTGGACTTTTGAATCCGGAATACAGCGCAAGGAATCTGGAATCCAACTAACGATTGGAGTCCGGAATACCATTCCACTGACGGAGAATCCGGAATCTAGTACCTGGAATCCGGAGTCTACGGCGTGAGATACAGAATCCAAGAATGTATTGGATTCCCTTACCTATGGGGTGATTCTTATAACCGACTTTGTTATAAGAACTCTTGAGTGACCGATGAACAGCTTGTATCGACAATAAAAATAATATATAGATTTAGCCAGGGCTAAAAGCGAAGCTCCCGTTAATAAATTCATAATTTAAATCAAACAATAAACTTGTAATCCACAGATCAGGGCACATTCATGTGACTTTTGAGGAAAGGCTACGTGATTTTAGAGAAAAATAATTTGACAGTCCAAGAGTGAAATAAATTTTACATCGAGTTAATAGTCTTATTTGTACACCAAAAAATAGCAATCATGTTCGATCACAGTAGATTAGGCCTCGAAAACAAATAGACCTATTCGTGTATTGTATTTGCATTAGCTGTTGCATCATAATGTGGCATTCACCAGTCTCTCTAACATTACTCCGTTTGAGAGACTATGAATAATTGGACAACCCCGAAATATAATCTTAGAAACACACGCGCCACGATAGTCCTTGGTGGCAGCCAATTTACACGTTGTATTCCTCTGTTCTAAAAGGTAGGCCAAGATAAAAAATTAGGCCGGATTTTTTGTGTTCGACAAGTTTACTTTACAAGTAAATCTCGGCGACGAATCTGGTGGCGTGTAAACCAGCCTCTTAAACATATTTTTTCCCATCACGTCTCAAGTAAACAGTATTACGAGGCCCTTTTTTATCATACAGTCAAATTTTGACGAATCAGAACATAAGAATTGGACGTAGAGCGTGATCAACGCAAGGCAGTGAGAAAAGTCAAAAGCAATTGCCTTCCTATGTAAAAGCCGGTTGAATTTTCGCGTCCGAGGTCAGTTCGAAATCAAAATTTTAAAAGTGCGTCTCATAAACACCACTTATTTCATATGCATTTAAAAGAAAATTGAACTTGAGCCTGCGATCATTTGAAAAGTAGCAACTTGTCAGCGGATAACTTCACAAAACACTCGAACTCAGTGGGTCGATACCTGAGCCCGCGATACTGGTTAGCACAAACACTATTTTGACAGCTGTCAATTAATCAAAACATGGATGTACAATTTCAGTTTTCAGGCTTCCAAACTAGCTACAAAGTGTGAGATTGAACATTGGTATGCCTGTGGTGCGGACGTACGGCAGCTCGGGTAGTCGGTGTACGGTCACGTGATTGCCGAATTTTCTAGGATGGATAGATTTTCTAAGGTATTGGGCTTCGAATTGAGCCCGTAATCAAATAAAATATCAGCGAAAAACCTTAAAGACTACGTGACCTCAATGGATAGAAAATGAGCCCGCGATACAGTCAGGTGATGATGGTCAGCGTATACTCTAGTTGACAGCTGTCAATTAACCACCATTAGAATGGCGAATATTCGAATTAACAGACTACGAGTGTGAGAAAGACATATCCGTCCGGCTTGTTGTGGATAATTCCAGATCGTGTACCCATGCGAACCTGAGCCCACGTTATTAGTTTTCTGATGGTAGTCTCAAATGTCCCATTTTGACAGCTGTCGATTGACCTTAATTTGGCTTGCCACAGAAACTCATAAGGGGTTTTGGGATTTTGAATGAAATTTTCATGAAACGGCTTCTTTGTTGAGTATGTTCATTCATAAAATTAGCTCCAAACATGATCGTGACTACAACATCCAAGCTGAATTTAAGCTTAAATGCTTCTCACATTCATTACCCGCATCTCTTTTTGCGAAGATGTCAGGTTCAGGTTTTGGACACTCTTCGATACGCAGCTAATGAATTTTATTCGAAAATATTGTTTACTGTTTATTCTAGACTTTTAATATACGAATTTTAAAAACCTATTTGCAGTATAAGTTTATTGTGCAGAGGGTCAACGAGGCATCGTTTTTTGAAGTGACAACTTCAAGAAGTTGCGAGGACGTCAATGGGTTTCATAATGTTACGTTTGGCCCGGGTGGTAAGGCAATAATATATTTCTGCCGAGTGTTTCGGTACGATTCCTGGTTTCAACCTTTGAAAGCTTTCTCGGCTTTTGGGAGTTTTTCCCCCGTTTGTCGGCCATTTCTTTAAGCGGGCGCGGGAACCTGAAGTAAAATTACGTCACGTTGTTTACGAAGGTTGATCGGTCAGTTATCTCGTTCGAAATATGGTACTTTCGAAAATGAATAATCACGAGCATCGGACAAAGCAAACATATGAGAGTTCCACGTTTCAACCCCTTATGAGTTTCTGCTTGCCAATATAACTTTAAACGACTGTCAGCCGACTGTCAGCCCTGCCCGGCGTAGTTTCGTTTTTATGTTGAATTGGTAAGTGTGACATATTATATCAGCTTATATGTAGGGGCAAAACGACTGGTCTTTCATCTGAGGCCGCGAGATGGTCATGTGATAATTGTCAGCGGAAATCTGATTTTGACAGCTGTCAATCTAATCGTACTCATACGGATGGCTTACATAACTGAAAGGCTAGTCAAGTTGTGCAAGATCTATTGTGACATTTGACATCGGCTTACATAAAGTGTGGGTACGGGTGGGCGGGCGTACGCCACGTCACAACCAAATTTTCTCCCATGGATAGTTTACCAAATTTTATTACCCATGGTGCTCCGCTTCGCACGCGCGAGAGCTCCGCTAAAAAAGACACATTCCGTCTTATGAGTGCATTATATTGGTCTTACATATCTCCTTGTATATTGGACGTAAAAATTAGGAACACATGCTTTTCAAGGCAGGAAGCTCTGACTGATGGATGGCAAAAATGTAATGTAGCAGTTATGTTGACCACATTCACCTGAGACAGATATTTTACGGTTAATTAATAAAGTGTCAGCAATTGTGACCGATTATTGGTTCAACGTAAGCTTTACCAAAAACGACTGAATCTTTCACTTTTTTTGTGACATCACGTGCGAGAAAAAAAAGATAACAATATATAAATATAAATATATATGTATATATATATATATATATTTTCCTTGGGCTCTTCACTCTATAATTTTTGTCCCAGAAAGTATATGCAAAAGCAGATATCATATGCGCATATCACGAATACAACTGAAATAAGTTGTTCGTCATCGCCCGTTTCCCCCTTAATTGTGTAAACTCTAGAAGTAAGAATCCTATATAGCATCTTGGTACTAAGATTCCGTCCTCTGGTGAAAGGACTTTAAAAGTAAGGTAAAAGACCTCCTGAAAAGGCACAATATGAAATGCGAAGAAGGCGAGTCTATAGATATTCACCTGCTGCACGGTCGGGCAAAACATCAGTTATTGATAACTTGTCAAACAAAAGACTTAAGACATGATTGCTTACAAAAAGGAAGCTCAAAATGTGGTATCTCTGATGTCTCAAAAGCCAATATACGGTTCGAAGTTTATAAAACCGTTCTT